ACCAATCCACAAACGCATGGAAGCCATCCAGCTTAACTGCGTGTGTGTCTCAGAGTGGATGATCCATGGTGCTAGAATCCTCACTCAAATGCAGATCTCCAGTATGTGAAGTCTCCATGACACTTGCTTTGGCATGGCTTTTGGATCTCATGGTGGTGATACTTAAAGGCTGTTCTACACACGCTGGACTGAACAATCTTGTCTCAGATTAAATCCTATAGAGTGAAGTTCGAGTGTCTGCTTGCCTTTTGATCTTTTTCACTGATGTGGTTTTACTGAAAAGACTTTGGTAGGTGAGAGTAAAGTCTGCTTGATGTTCCAAGTGCCACCAAATGCAAAAAATCTAGTCCAACTTAGGACTTTGAGTCCAACATATTAATCACAGCGCTAAAGCTGAATTGGTAAAGATAATTCAAAGAGCTGTATTACACTTTTGCCAAAAAAAAAAACTTATAATGTATGAAGAACATTCATTGGATCACAAACTCTTTTGTCTTTCTCTATTCTCCTTAGGATCACACAATGAGACATAGAAAAGATTGCTCATTGACCTACATTCTTCTTTGTAATCAATAACAAGTGATGAAGCACTTCTCAGCTGCTGCAAACTGAAAAAGAGTCAAAGAGAAGAAGAAAAGGGTGATAATGAGTGCATGTCTTCCTGTGACAATTACTTGCATGATTAGGATCAATATAGAATAGCAAAATGAGAAGCTTATGCAATGATGAACAGCAATAACTGAACTATATCAATCCATTATTAGGTTGCTCCCACTAGGAAGGTTCAGTCTCAGTTTCTGGCAGTCAATTTGTGCATCATATTAAGATGCTAGCTTTAGCTGTAAAAAGTTTGGTATATCTGTACAAGATCTTGGGACCAAAGGATTGGTGACAGAACCACAACTTTCACATCATCACAGAGGTATATTTTTGATTGCTGACTGATTTAGGAGATGATTGGTAGGTAATAGAAGGTCTTGTATACAACTACTTGTTTCAATCATTTGGTTGACTGATCCAAGAAAAGAAAACCTCAGCGACTGTGATTAATGTGGGTCACCTAGTAATTTTCCTTGTCATTGTATATAACATGGCAAAAATTTTAATGTAAGTTGAGAATAGAAACATTCTGTGGACATCCTGTCCTAGAAGTTCTGAATTATAAGTTTTAGCAAACATTCCTTTACCTGAGAACAAAGTTCTGAATTATAAGTTTTAGCAAAAGTGAGCTGTATTTGTTTGAGTTGCAGTGCCAGATAAGTTGTAGGATGTGTGAGGATTCTAAAAATCAGATATAAATTTATTTAAGATTTATTTAATTATTAGGAGAACAAATCCTAATGAACTCAGGTATGAAACTCTATAAATATGAATATATCTGTTTTTTTTCATCATCTATCAAATATTATTTCAGTCTTTTGATAAATCTTAGGAGATCGATCACCTCGAAATGATCAAGGAGGTTTTATCGTTTAGTATCAAGCAGCTATCCTCGACGTTCTCGTTATAATTTCTCAAAATACTTTATCACAGCTATCGTAATAAAATAAAAATAAAAAAAAATTAAAAAAAAGGGCGGGAGAAGAAGAATTCGTAACCTTAATCCTCGGCGTCTCGCTGTAGTTCCTCATCCCATCTTCCGCGTAGTCGCCCTCATCAGTAGCCTCAGCCCTCGGCCACTGGCCACCCCTAGGAAAAAGCCGACAGTCGCCCCATCCCGCTCGAG